TTCTGCTGCATCAATGTCATCGTCTTCTTGGAAAGATTCTGGCGTGAGTCCAGGAATTTATTGATGAATTTTAGAAGCTGTAATTTTCACTCTCAGATTATCGTTACGAGACCGAACATCGCGATTTGCGACGTGTTATGGGAGCTGGAATTGCCATTACTCGTGGAGCTGCTGGGGCATTATCGTTCTGCATGGCAGTGGTGCTGCTTACTGTATGCAGGAATGTGATAACGCTTATCAGAGAGACTCCCATGGGAGAATTCATTCCATTCGACTCGGCTATCACTTTCCATAAGGTGAGTTGGATGGAGTTGCAGCATCTCATCACTACGGCATACCTATCTTAACCATCGAGGCGTGCTTAAGCAGACACAATTGTTCGCAGCGTAACGACGCGAGTAGTGAATGCATCTTGGTCCCCGGCGAAGTTTACGGTAGTTTTGCGGTAGTACGATAGCATACGGTATGCGATCTCAAAAGGGTCCACACTGGTTGACGCTTTTGTGGGATACATAAAATATCTAAAGGCAGTGACAGACTGAGCTGCAAATGGGGAGGATGAGGTGGGGGCGGGGCGCTGACGAAAAAGCGGAGGTGGGCAAAATGAAAAGGACCTTCCAACTCAAAACAAGGAAAAAATGGGAGACCAAGAAAATATAGGAAGAAGAATATTCGAGTTCCTTTCTGGGTTCGCTCTCCCATTAGAACTGGTTGGGCTGGATCTCTTTCGATATAGCTGCGACTTCGACGAGCGTGCCACTCTTCTTAATCTCTGAAGTAAACAATAAATAGCAGAAATATCAGGATCGGAGAATGTAGTCGACGATTGCAGATAGAACTGCTTGATCAATCGCCAGTACCTCAAATTGGGTAATGAAACCTTCGTTTAGCAAATTCGAACAATAAATCAACGTAAAGAGAACACCATTATTCTGCAAGCGAACATCGATATAACGTAAACAAATACGTCAGTTTTGAGAGTATCAAAACAAGAGAATCAACCATTTTTTCTAATACTGTGGATAACAAAAGACCAGAATAGCATTACGAAGGATGCTATGAAAAAATGTCATCGAATACGTGGGAATTTGGATACTACCGACAATGAATTATATGAGAATGCGACGAAGATTATAAGAATAACGAAATACTAGTATCGGATATGAAGTCTAACACTATCAGTTATGAAGTGTTTGTGCAAGCATAGCCAATTTCTTTAGACTTATGAAGAAGATTAAATTATGAAACTTGTAGAAAATTTTTGATTTTT